ATATATAAAAAAAATACACACTGCCGGTCAACTTAACACACATGCGCACATGCACACACACACATATGTATATTGTACACACCCACCCAGTAGCAACATGTCTGATATCAATATTATATTTTGTGTACACACACCCTACATCTAGTAGTAAATAAGAAAATCCCTTTTATGGCAATTCTGCAGGCAAAAAAATCAATACAAAATACTTTGTTGTACAAAACTGCATTTTTACAAGATCAACCAACATTGTAACATACCCCTCAATAATGCACTACATCCCTACAAGAAAAAAGAATAATCAAATATTTATACAATTGTAAAAAAAATTGTAAGCTGCTCTGCAACCTTCCTTTGCTAAAAGTTAGATACATTACACCATTCTAGCAGCAGATTAATAAATAAGGATTAAATAGTCTATTATACAAAGCCATACTGAATGGCAGATTTAAAACCAAAAAGCTTTGCAGATACTTTCACTTCCTACACAAATCTTTTTTTTATTAAGAATAAGACTCAGTATAAAACAGGGAAACAGCCAGCACTGTATCTATATCTACAGAATATAAGGAAAATCCAAGGGAAGTAAAATATTTAACAGTTTATGGCACCTTTACTGCAAAACATTTTTTTAAAGGCTCTGTTTCCCTATAACTAATGAGTAAAGGGCTATTTATCTCATAGCTTTTATTAAGCAAACTCGATATAACCAACCACACAGTGGCAAGAGACAGAACCAGCTGTTCCCAGCTGCAAAAATGTATTGATTTCCACCTTAAAACAACATCATTTAGGTGTCAAGAAAAGAAACAGTAAGTCACAGTCCCGCTTGTACTGAGTTTCCTAACGCTTCTTTGTTCCTCGTGTGGCAAATTCACTCTGTTATTTGCGTTAGGTTACTGTTGCTTAGTAACTATTTTCATGTCCAGCCAAGATGTAGAGATTGCTGTGTGCAGTCGGATTTTCTGTTGGCCTGCTTTCTAACACTACCACTCTGCAATCAAACACAAACAGAATCCAAAATGGTTAGTGGCAAAATACAAAGCACATGGTATAACTACCAAGAAGGAACAAACTTGTTGGTCACAGGTTTCTACAAATTGGAGTGATGTAGGTTCTCCTAAATATCTTGGGTATTCTATTCTTTCAATCAGTTATCTCATTTTCCAGCATCACTTCTGATAAAAACACTAAAGCGGAATATACAACGAACAGAGGACTAGAAGCAGCTTCTTGAACCAGAACCCGCCCCTCTCAACCACAGAGCCACATGCAATGTGTTACAAACCTCTTCCAAACTGATACCCTCCACCTTGAAATAAGCTATGTCCTCTGCTTCGATTGGGAAGTTATCTCAGAGCCAGCGTTGTGAGGAGATGCAACCCTCCTATCATCTGCAGCCCGAATATGTTTATACCTCCTACATCTTGCGATAAGCATCAGCTACTAACCTAAACAGTTCTCCTCCCTTCTAAATATTTATCAGCTGATGGGTTCATAGGAACACTCAACCCCATCTCAGCCTTTGTCCTGCTGGATCATGTTCCTGCAGGCTCCTCTGGAAAACCTGTCTCTCCCTGTCTTGGCATGCTGACCGCTGTCTTCTACACATCTGTCCCATGCTGAACCTCAACAATCATCTCAGTGGCTGATATGGTCAGGCTTTTGACCTCCCCTCTCCCTTTGAACTGCTTAGCTCCTGCATTTCTCTGCACCAGTTCCTAGGACAACATCCTGTCATTTTTAAGATTAAACTTCTCTCTGCTTTTTGTTTTCTACCTGCGTATCAAATAAGCCAAATGTGTGACTTGAACTCTGAGTTGGATTTCTCAAAGGGAGCCCCTGTCTCAGGGTTAGCATTGCACACACTCCCCTCCCATGTCACATTCCTCGAAGAGTTTTCAAATGAAGTCTCACTCTTAACAGTCTCTGTCCCTGATCTTCACTTCTGCAACTCTGTAGTTCTTAAGGGATCCAAGCCAAAAACGTGCTACCAGATCTCATTCACTTGAATGGCAGAAAAGACTCCTGCTCCATTTGTACAGAGATAGAAAAATACAAAACAAAGGATTTGGCAGTTCAGTGAGATCAAAATGGAAGAAAATGGCTTCTCTGCAAAACTGCACACAGCAGAAGGACTTTTACCTCCAACCCCAAGAAGTGCTTTGTACTAAGTTGTTATTCAGACATGCATGTCTTCTATGAAAGTGCAAGCTGACCAGATGAGATGCTGCTTCCAATCCCTCTGTGTGTTTAGGATGCTCCTGTATTCACCAGCCCAACACAGAAATATGAGCCATTTAAAGGTACCAATTCCAGTACGCAAGAAAGATTCACTGATGGTGGCTCAGCACATACCTGGACTAATACATATGGCATCTGTACCGCAGTGGACCTTAGCAAAAGATCATTCTTGCAATAAAACGCCCCCTGCTCTGCTGGGAGTAACAGGGAAGGAAATTACCACTGCCTGTCTGCAAAAGAGGGATAACAGCCAGAAAAGGCAGAGTATGCATTGTCAGAGGTTGCACTGTGTTTGTATTTTTGAGATCTGAGAGTCAGCAGTGGCAAGGACCCTCCCTCCACTTCCAAGTGCAGGGATCAAGTACAGTGGGTCCTAGGTGACTCAGGTGCAAAGCAAAGACTTCAGCTGTTTCTTGTACAGGCTACCCCTCCTCTTCAAAAGAGCTAGCACGCTCTCACTCTCTTTCTGGACTGGGGATCCAAGAATGCAAGTACACAGAATTATGGATTACTTACAGAAAGCGAGTCAGAGCCAGGCTTCCCAAAGGCCAAATGAGGGAGCAGAAGATCAGGGATTAGAACTGATTTCTTGACTCATTACTATCTACTTCTACAGTTAGCACTCTGGCTATCTGAGAAACCACAAGTACGCATGTCCAAATCCGGAGACTGGGGTAGCTTCTCTGCTAAGGTTTCAAACCTGGAGGCAGCTGCACCTCTTCCCAGCCTCTGCAGCTGCAAGGAATCATCTGCATGTTATGGGTAATGGGTGAATTTAGACCACTGTGCATTGAAACCTGTATGCGATCTAGTTTGCTCTGCTATTTCCAGACCTCAAGGTCCAGAGCAGCAAAGATTTTTTTTAAGTAACTAACTGCCAAGATAATTCACCAGTTCACCAGAAAAATCCAAGCCAGAAGTAAGCTTTTCCAGAAGTGCACTGGGCACCCTGCTTACCACATGCCAAAGGCAGCTCTCATCTCTCCCTGCGGCTTATCTCCTCACACCATTTTTCTATATGCTTGTGTTTGTGTTCACACTTCTGTCTCTGCAGTGGAAAGTGGGGGAGGTCACAGGGGCTCTTAGTAATAATTTTTGACGCAGATGCAATCACTAATTAAATTTTTGGCTATTGCAGGCAGAAACAGTGTTACTGCCTCCCCCAGGACTGCCTACAGATAGATCTGTGGTGGGCTGGAAGCCAATTCCAGCTGGAAGCTAGAAAGCTGGTTTAAACAAAATAAAAGATTTATGTTTCTTCAAGGTGATTACCTGTCTGATCCCAGTAAGCGGAAAACCCTGGTTTCATCTGATATCTCCTGGGTAACCTGTAGAAAAATGGAGACATTTAGGTCCATTTCAGTGGCAAAATTAAATTTATTGGGCTGAGTTGGAAGGAAAAAAAAAAAAAAAAGAGATTAGTCTTTTGAAAAATTCAAATACAATTTAGTGCAGATTACAGGACTGAATCAGGTAATTTGATGCCAAGCAAAAAAAAGTTTTAAATTTCGTAAAATACAAGTTATTTAAAATAATTTTTGTATTGTAGACTGTTATCAGTCTAGATGACTTGATGGCACAGATGGAGTATGTTGATCAAATCTTTGTCAGCAGAGACTGACTAGCTTTCCCTGCATTTTCACAGAGGACGCCATCAAAAAGAACAGTGTTCTTTTTGAAAAAAGGACACTTTTTTTAAAGGGACACTTTAAATAAAAAATAAAAAAAAAAGAGTGTCTTTTTTTTTTTTTTTTTTAAAAGGGATGCTGCCAACTCGAGCTTTTCATCCAAGATCCAAGAAACCCAAATGCTGCTTACACCAGATCTCTACTGGCTCTGTGCAGAATGAGTTGAGCAGACTCTGATATTCTTGGGAACAGAGCTGGCTAAAGCATGTGAGCTTTACCAAGAGAAACATATGCATGCAAGTCAGAGAAAGCAACCAGCAAGCTGAAGGAATGACAACATGGAGCACGAGCATTAGCACTAGGGAAGAGGGGCCAAAGGATCAAGTGGTAAATAAGGAACAGGAAGAAATTAAATCTGGAGAGACTGGGAGATTACTTACTTCATCTGACTTAAAGCTTTTGCCCTGCATGCCATGTTTCCAGAAGGCCAGCACACTGTCTTGAAGGCACACTGCAAAGGAGAAACACAAAATCAGACCTGAGCATGGCTTATCTGAACCAGAGAAACCTGGGTTTCTCACTAGCAGTGATAATGGGAAGCATGTGGAGAAAAGTACGTGGTGAGACTTGGACTCCTGGTAGAAGAACCAAACTCCAAAATCACTGTAGAAAAACTGGATCTGAGACACACATTACTTTTTAAAGTGCAATTCAAAACATACCACTCAGACATTCCCTGTTTGCCAGGACAAGATAGGCATCTCTGGTTTTTCCTTTTCTCCCTTTCAATTCTATTCTCTGGATCTTTGTTTTCCTAATGATTCTGGAGAAAGCACCAGGAAGTATATAAACATGCTGCCAACCAAAACACTGTGGGTTGCTGGAAATTACAGATCGTTTGAGTTATTATATTTACTTCAAAATAGATGCAAGTATGAAAAATGAGGAGAGTCTTCCATTCAGGGCCAAAGAGAGAACACAGAAAGCTACCAGCTCCGAATGATTTAATTACCAGACTGCTGAAAATAATGGATGAAGAGCCTGGTGTTCTCTAAGCAGTGTTAGAGAAACATATTTTACACCATGTTTTATTTTCCTAAATCCTACTTGTTTTCCTTTACTATCACTTTGAGTCACATTTTGTATCTGCTTGGTATTAGCCATGTCCTAAATACACAGAACAAAGGCATTCAGCAGAGTCCTAAGCGCAATGTTTGTCACAACAGCCTTGGACTAATCTTCACCTGCTACTCCCCACTCCACCCTGCAATCAGAGAATGAAGAGTTGTTTAATACCCTGAATTCCCAGGAGACCACTTGGAGTGTAAAGAACCGCTTACATTATTCAATGTCAGCTGGTAAGTGCAAGACTTTGGGATAAATGCTTCTGTCTATGAATTCCTTCAGAGTTCAAGGAAAAGGCAATGGTCAAGTCATGTTATGCATGCGTCAGCAGAAGATATTGTATGATAGAAGTACAGCAGTTAATTAGAACATCTCAGAATTTAGGGAAGAATCACAGGCTTGATTAAAAATATCTTCCTTCAGGACGGGTCTGACATATCTAAATAGAGATGCTGTATGAAAGAATGTGCACTGCTTTACCAACTGCTGTTAAAATACAAAATACCTATGTCAAGAATCTTCTTCTAAAGGGAAGATGCCTGAGGAACCCAGAAATGCAAGTTGTACAGAACTGCTAACAAAAACAAGTTGTGTCTTTACTGATTTTGATTCCAGAAAGAAGTTCAGTTTCTGAGATACGGAATTATTAAACTTACATTAATTAGATACTTCTGAGAGCTTATTACAGCAGAAATACTTGCTTGACAATTACAATTCAAGTTTTAGAAGCAAGGCTGCTGTCCTCTAATAATCTAAAGACAGCAGCCTGTCCTCTAAGAATTAGATTCAAATACTATTACCCTGACTGTTAAAAAATGGATGTGCTATCACTTTAAATAAAATCTTAGCTTTTAGAAGACTACACAAATTTATGTATTACTAAATCATTTTTTCCTCCCCAAACGTTTTTCTCAGTGCTATGGAAACGACCAGAAACTAGTCAGCCTTTTTTTCAACTAAATCATGATACATCCTACTTATAAAACAGAAATGACACCAGATGGAAACACACGCAGATTTGACACACTATCTGGCCTTATTTTCTTCTGCATGTCAGTGGAGACAAAGAGACAGCCCACAATATCCTGACACATGCAATTTTTAGGGTCAGGCCCCACTGGGTGCACTAGACCAGTCTAGATTATTAAAAAACCTTCAACACTCATCTCTCTGAGTTCTTAGTCCTTGAGAGACAATAGAGAAGCAAATCACTTACCCACTGACTCAATGCAGAAATCAAAGCTCAGCTCGGAGGCCAGTTTCTTGCTTGACTTCAATTTCCCTTGTAAGTTCACAATTTTCACAAATTCTCAAGAAAAACAGAAAAACAAGTATTAAAACCCACTGCTGAAAAGGATTACTGACGTCTTTAAGTACGAAAAACTAATTTCATCTTTCAGGGACAAAAAAAATGCCCAAGCCTAACATCTACAGTATTTGCCTAAAATGAATCCAATAGTATCCTTCTCTCAAAATAAATATAGAAAACCTTCTTATACACTTTGTATGTTTTTAGACTCTACTGACAGCCTTCCTGCAAGTAACAAACAGTGCAGAAATGTGAATTCAACATAAAGGTTGGAAATTTAGGCAGACTAAGTCATTGCAAAGTTCTCATTGATGTATTTACCTCTGATGCATGAGAATTACGGTTATAATTACTGTGTATGATGGAGTGTTAGCTATTTGTCCTGCTAGCATATGCAACAGGCAAATGTCACTTTTTCCCAGTAAATTTTGAAAATTTCTGATTGGCATATATTTGAATTCTGATCTGTAATGCTGCATTACACTTCATTTTGAAAAGAAACAAGAATGATACACACACGAAGAGGGGAAGTGGAATCACAAGAATCAAAATGAAAAACCACTTATCTGAACTGTATCTGTTAGGAAATATTACAACACAAATTAGTAATGAAGGGAGAAAAATTAACTCGTGGGTAGAGTTAAAATCAACAACTGTAGCAAAACAAGTTTTGCACAAGGTGTAGTAAGTTGCCCAACAGAGACATGTTACTTACTGTCCAGGCAGACTAGGACAGTGTCTCTTTCCAGCTGTGTTACGTGAATGGCATCTAACTGCTGATTGCCTTGTGAAAAAGAAAACAGATTATTTTATATCACATCATAAGACTGATCGCAGTCTCCCCTCCCCTCAACGTCTCACCAATTGCTACAGCCTTTTCAGTACACTACGAGCCTTTTGCAATCTACAGTATTTGTTACTTTCTCAAAATTTTTTTAAGGCTATATGATCCCAGAATGTTCTGGGAGGAGTACAGGGCCTCAGGACAAACCCATCCGTTCAAAGCATGTATTTAATATGAAAGCACTACTGTTTATTGGCCTAAAATACATTTTATGTTACAGTTCAGCACAGCAAGTCAGCTTCCTTCATGAAGAGGCACAATAATGAATAAAAGGAATCATCAAGGGAATCTTCGCTCCCAAAAAAATGCTCTTTTCCCATAAATCCACATCTGGAAAGGTTATTTTGCTGATATTAAGCTAGATTTAATAGCTTTTCTAGTTTTTATTAATGAAGTCCTTGGTACAGCTGCTAAAAAGCAGTATTTAAATGTAAAAAAGTATATCCAACAGAGCCAGCAGAGAAAGGCATCTGCAAGATATCAACTAGCTTTTGAAGATAAAACAAAATCTTCTACTTATTAATAGCCAGCTGAAGATGACAAGCCTCCCCCAAGGGCTGGAGGACAGACAAGAATGCATTTATGTGAGTCTTTACAGAGGAGAGAAGGGGAAAGAGGAGTAAGCCTGCCCCCAGGAAAAAGTATGCAACCGCAAACGAGAACCCAATCAGCAGGGTCTGCATTACTATTTAAGGACATTTATAAAATAAAAGATGTGTCTAAAAATGAAGTCTTTTAAGAAAAAGAGTTTATACTGAAGTTGGCAGGTCATCACAAGAAGAACCTGGGATCAGCTTCAATATGCTTTAGGTAGAGAAGCTGCATCATTTTGCCTAGCCTGAAGGGTTTCCAAATGGCCTCTGAGGAATCCAATAGTTATCAGACAATAACATGGCTGCAAGATGGACCAACAGTCTTACCTGCACCAATTTCTGTAAACCACGAAGAAGCAGAGTTCAAGTTGATTGTCTCAAACTGAACTACCTGATTTGGTTCAGTACCCTTACTGATAGCTACGCAGACCATCGGGTACTCCTGCTCTGGTATCACTAGCATTTCAAACACATTCAAAGGGCTTGGCAAAGGAAAATCAAAGTGCTGGAAAAAACATAATAAGGCATTTGTAAAGTTTCCTTTTACCTTGGAAATAAGAAACCTAAAATAACATGCACGAAGTATAAAAGATATAGAAGAATTTTTCACTGCTACAAGAGTGCTTTTTTAAGACAGCATGAGCTGTGAGCAACATTATGTTGCGCGGAGATGTATGTTAGTCTGTTATTGCTGGTACTGGGTTTGATCCAACACTTGACTGACTTCAGTCACAAGATTTTCTTAGTCAAAATGTGTCAAGCCAGATTTTCAAGTGTTCAGAACCCACAAATGGGACTAGCCTGGGATGTACTTTCCATTACAAGTTCTGGAAAGGTTATTTCAATAAATATATAATGATTAAATGTTCTACACTAAAGTGAAATACTTACCTTTATTAACATGAATTTCTGCATTGGCTCATACCACTGTAGTAGAACAATTCCAGACTGCAATGCACCACACAGATATTTATGTCCTGTGTATGGATTTCGTACTATATAAAATAAACAAACAAAAAAAACAGGAAAAAAAACCCGCAAATGTTTTAAGTCCAGGAAGTTCAATGCATACTTGAAAAAAACCCTGCAGCTGTCTTTACAAATAATTTAAGAAATAGTATCAGTTTCACACTGGTAATAGCCTTCTGGCTTGCCATTCAAATGTCCACAGTGATTAATACTGTGCTACATTCCAGACAAGTTCAATTATACTTATAATTAATAACCACTGGCATTCTTTGAGTCCCAGTAAAAAGGCCACATGCTGAGCGGCCAGAAAAGCTGTAACACCTTCTTCCTGGGGCTGTGTGAGCAGAGGGAGTGAAAGGTCCAGGTCAAGTTGTGATTTAAATAAAAAAAATTCCCAAGCAGTGAAGATGCCCCATAACTTCTTGTGAGCTTTGACAGCTAATGCAATAATATGATGAAGGCTTTGGGGTTTGTTTTTTTTAAGCTCAGTTGGATACAAGACCAGCCTGACTTCAGGAATCATTTGTAAATACGCCTACTGTAGACACTTTACGTGAGCTAAATGGGATATCCCAAGTTTGAAAACTAGGTACTTTATACTCTGCTTAAGCATTTTTAAGAGTGTAAAGGTACACTCACACACAGCACTAGGGCCAGTTTTCAAAAGGACATGTATTTTGTAGAAAACACAAGCCTTTCTGAAAGTCAGTGAAGCCAAAGACAAACCTTGTAACTCCACAAGCTTTAACTCTTTTCTGGGCACTTAAAACTTGGGCGATGGCTTCACTCCTCCCCAGACTGGCATAATTTTTATTCATGTCCAGCCTTTTCTTTGTGGAAAATATTCTTTTCAAGTTAGCATCGCTAAAAGTTGCATCTAGGTCAAAGCTTGAGCCAAACTGACAAAGCAGAAAGGGTATTTGTGCATGTGCAACAAGTCTAGGATTCTGTAACAAGCGTTACACTCGCAGGCAGTCTGCAGGTCACAGTAACTAGTTGGCTTGGGTGCCTGCCTGAAGCCAGTGATCCCAAACATCGATTTACTCACTGAGAGCTTCAGCAGCTCTCAACGAGTATGTGCAACACCCGTCAGCTGTGTGCTACTGGCATTCTCCAGGGTTCCCCTTTGGATCTTGCTCTAGACAGCAACATTTCTAGGTTAAGAGCTGATATGAAAAATGCTTTTCCACTGAAGAGCATAAAGACCTCCACATTAATTAAAAGGAAAGCTATGCACCAGTTAGGCACAGCATTAAGAAATAATGTAGTCATACTGTTTTCTGAACAATGAATTAACTGTAAGTTTATTAAAAAGAAATGAGTTTAAGACATGCCATGCCCAACAACAAAGGCCAGGGAAAAAATTGCAAAACTGAACGCCTACTCACCTATACAGCATTTGTGGCATCCTTTTGTATCAGGGATCTTTGTTGTTAAGGCAAACTTCCTGGAATAACAATTACGGAAAAAAGGCATCAACAAGAGATGCCGAAGGCCCTTCATGCTACCAATTCAACAGCACAAACAGTATTTATGGGAATTTTCACTTGTTAATAATTGTCTGTAAGTGAAAGATTTGTACCTTGGTAATATTTTGTCAGGAAACCTATGGGTTTGAATATGAGCAGCTAATCCTGTTTTTTTGGCTTGTTCAAACAAAGCTATTAAATTATGGGAGTAGAGCTGGAATGTTTTCCCTGTAAGAGAGAAAAGCAGAATTGATATTGCAGCCATGCCTCCAGCAGAGAACTGCACATTTTACAAAAATGTATGTATAGAAAATTACCTTCTAGAGAAACAGAGCACGTGCGTCAGATATTTCAAGTCCAGTTATGAAGAAAAATAAAACAAGACAACAATAATATAGAGAAGACATGGCATTCAACTCAAAGTTCATTTCAGTAACATTAAAGCAGCTCTGAAAGTTAGTTTTATGTATACATTTTTAAAGGCTGTAATTATACACCAACAATTAATTATATCAGGACATCTTCTGTATCTATAAATCCATAAAAGTAGTGTTACACAAAATCTTGCATTTTTAAAAGCACAGTCCTACAATTAGTGTGCATGCCACAGTGCCTGTTTCCTACCTACAATGTCCTATTCCAGGACAACTCCTGAAAAATATTTTTTTTTCAAGAATCAGTCTGCTGGATTAGTATTATATTTCACAGCCACCTCATTCTCATTTAAATTGAGACTGGTTTTGTTTTAGGGTGGATTTATTTTCTGAATGTGGTTCATACCAAAGATGCTGCCAGGCTACAATACACTGAGAATGATCAAACACAGCATCTACATTTTGATAATGCACCTATGTTAAACCTTCCCTCATCTTGTTCGGACACATGAAAGCCATCCATATTCTGACTCTCCTAGCTCAGGGATCAAAGAAGAGGACACTGTTTAGATTCTCTAGGCATTTTCAGTCAAATTCCAGCCTTGGCAGAAGCAACTCTTGTCTGACAAATTCCAAGTGCTGAACCTTTCCAAACTAACTAAAAATAAATAAATTAAAAAAATATGGTGGGACACTGCAGACAACTGGCTCTACTACTTGTAAACGTCCAGTTTTATCTCTGAAAGTCTTTCACATTAAAACACTCTTGAAACAAAGCTTCCTACACAAACAGAAGAAATAATGCACAGTTTTCTACTTCAGTACAATCAAAATACGTGGTACTGAATTATGACTTTAAATACTTCTCTCTATTTGTAATTTTATTAATTTTCCCTGTATTTATACATACCTGACAAGGACATTAAGGTGTTATTGATAACATACAGCCAGGTGCACTTTCGGGGAAATAACTGAAGAAAGAAAACATTTCCATTAATAGAAACGTACAGGAATTTCTAAGCGTGGTTTTCTCTGCCTGCTCCACCTCTGCCACCGTTCCTGCAGGGATCAACACTGGAGAAAGGCCCAGCTGCAACTACATTTTCCCCTTTAATTCACTCTTTGGACCCTTGCTTAGCCCTTTTCTCTGTCTGAAATAGTTTTCATTCCTTCCTTCTTCTACCCCTGAAACTTTCAAACTTCCATTTTTCTTTATTTTTTAATTAGCAGCACAGAGCCAAAGTGCGACAACTGGCAAGACTGAATACCATATATAGAGAGATATAACTTGCTCAGGAATGACAGCCAGAGAAAGAAAGATAACATTATTTCAGAAACTTACTAAACCCCACAAAAGTCAGAAGAGGGGGAAAAAAGCATTAGTATTTTCTGAGCAACTTGAACTATTACAAAATCCTGTATTTTGTGGGACTTCCCTGCCTGGCTATTTGTGTTAGCCTGCTGCTTTGTAAACAGACAGTTCATGGAAAGTATTGGGACTTATTTTTGTTTGAGAGGGAAGAAGTGATTCACGGGGCAGCTAGTCTAGATTTGAGAAGATTTTAAAGTTAAGAACCACCTCTTGACAACCTGAAGGGAATTTTGATAAAAGTGATGGCAAATGACAGCATTCGGGAGTCTCAACAAAGGAAGGAATAAGGACAACAAAATAAGGACAAGGATTTTGTAAAAAAAAAAGACGACTAAATTTATTGAATAGTACTCATAGGTAAGTCCTCCCACAAGAAAAAAATTCCAGTAAGAAAAAAAAAGGAGTTCAAAGGATTAAGCTGTTTCTGAATGAGAATATTAAAAAAAGACAATAGCAGGTTGGTCCACTGAGGGAAGTTGTTGCAGAACACAGCAGAAGATGCTTGAATCAAGGCTCTGAAAAAGAATGATTTTACTGGTTCATGCAAATGTCCATCTAACCTAACATCTGTTTCCAACAGTCACCATAAAGTGACACAACTTCTCCTAAAAATGGTAAAAACATGGAAAAAAAGGTGTATCATACTGCATTTAATGCTCTGCCAGGCACCAAGTTCTTCAGCTCAGAAATCTGCTGAATCAGATACGGGCTTTATGCATTTAGTGAGCTTCAATGGATTTATCCTCCATAAATTTGTCCAGTCTCCCCTCTGATCTCAGGTAACTCCTAGCATTTGCAACTTCCCATAGCAAAAAGTCCCAGGCCAGCTATCCACTGTTTATTTTTAATTTGGCTCCCACTAGCTTCATTTAATGGTCCTACTGGAAGAGAAGGGGAATAGTTGTTCCCTATGAACCCTCTCCAAGCTGACCCAAGATGGGTAAATATTTCTTATTTCCCCCTCATGCCTTAAGTATCACAAATACATAATACAGAAATACTGAAACAAAGACACAACACTAAGGACGAAGAGGCAGTCACAAGATAAGCCTGAAGGAAGAAACATAAGAAAGGTTAAGATGCAAATCAAATTAACAACACAAGAGAAGTCGATAAACGTCGTAACTGGGAAAACAAAAACTGCATGACAGGAAAGAAAGACTACATGATTAACACAGTTAATAGCACTGGGGTGGGAACTTGTGCTAGAAGCAGAAGAAGAACACATTACACACTATTTCAACTAGATACACTCATGTCAGCAGGTCCCAACGAAGTTTACTTTACACTACTTAAGAACTGGCTCAAACCCCAAGGTCTCAGTAATGATTATATTCAAGAACTGATTAGGGCAGGCAACGACCTCAAGTACAAACACAGTACCTATGCCAAATACAAAGGGTGGTGGGAACTGCAAAATAGTCTGACTGACTGACTGGATATCCAGAGTAGTACAGGAGCAAGCCACATACTTTTTAATTACCCAGGGATAAGAAGAGCAGCTAGTGCAGACTTGTGCAGAACAGGCTGTATTTGAACATCTGAATTTCCTTCTTTAACAGGGTAACTGCCCTGCTGGGGACAGTGAAACAGTAAGATGTGAAACAGATATGAAGGACCTTGTCCTGCGTGCCATTTCCATGTGCAAAATAAGAAAATACGGGGTAGAAGAAATTGCAGAAAGAAAACACATAACTGGTTGGACATAAAAACAGCCTATCTATCAACAATTTGCTGTTTAATAGAGGAAAAAGCAGCCTGTAGATATATAGTGTCTTCTCTGGTCTGGTGCTATTCAGTATTTTCACTGAAAAACTAACAATGGAATAAAAGTATACTTCTGAAATTGGGAGATACTAACCTTGGAGAGACAGCAAGCACTCTGGAAGATGCGAGCAGAATTAGAAGTTGGAGAATGTTAAAAATGTTCATTTGGTGGGGAGAAGTCATGAAATGAATAAACGCAAAAAAGGAAACAAGTGGCATGGCAGAAGGACAGTTGTAAAGCCTCTGGGGTTTGTAGTGGATCACGCTTGACCTCTCCAAACTAAGGATGCTCTCACAGAAAAGGAAACTTTCATTTTGGGATACACTGGATGTCATAAGTAGACACTAGCAAGTTCTCTCTACCTACTACTGGCATATCTAAGCTTTCAATAGGACAAAAAAAACATGTGGACGAGTCCAAAGAAGACTGTTACATGAAATAATTTAGGAAAACGTACAAGGAAAGAGATTGCTTTGACTAACAGCGTAAAGAGAAAATTGAGGTAAGAAAGCCAGGGTGCCTTCAACAGCTGCCACCACAATTTTTAAAAATGTATTATAAAAGTAAGTAGTTGTTCCCCATGTCTACTGAGGCTACAGAATGATAAGCAACTTCATATTCAGCTCTATCCTATTGCACTCAGGTGCACCCTCAGCTCTGTTAACTTGAAAGGATCTTCTAATTGTATTGAATTCAAATTCCCAATTCTCACCATCAAGCCCTTTATAATCTTCTCTCGCTTTTGCCTGTGCCAAACTACCCCCTGACATGACCTTGCTGAACTGCTTCCCCTTTTCTTTTGTCCCTCTTGAGTTCTGGCCCCTAGCACAATACTCCCAGAAACAGAGGACTTTCTCCTCTTAAGCACAGATCTCTGTGCAGTGCCCGTTCTGTGAAATCATCTTTCTCTCACTATTACTCATGGATACACCCACCCTGCCACCTCTGCTTTCTGACCTGACCTGTGTCTCGACTGAATTTAACGCTCTTTAGAGGCCTGAAGTGCCTTTGTGAACTGCTTTAGAAACCTACAGGTATAAATCTCATTATCAGCATCCACCAACACTTCCAAGAATACTCTGCTACTCCTGATTCTAAAAAAGCAAATCTAACAATACTGCGATTGCATGAAGTGGCTTTGGAAAGGGTTAGAGAGCCCAAGAAAACAGAAGCAAACGCCTATTTATTGGTGATAACAATGCCAGCTAAATTAAATGGTTGACGGCTTTGGTAGCATCCAGTGGAGAAGCAATATGCCATCTAGTGGAGATAAAATGGAGAGAAAGGGCAGGTAATTGGTTGTCTCCAAGGAGCAGAAAGGTGTTTAATAAAATGAGAATGCCTTTGAAAGCAATGTTACATAAGCAGCAACAAAAAATTCAGGTAGGTAGGGGAACTATTAATTTTAGGACTTCAATTGCTTGTTTTGATGTGAATCAGTTTATGCCACAAAGCCTGGCATCCCATCTACTCCCTCTAACATCAAACTTTCTTGCTTCATAATATCCCTAAATCTATTCTGTGTTCAATACACCAAAAATCACCTGTTCCATTGTTGCTTCGTGAAGTTCATTCAAATTCAAAGTATAGATACCTTCTTCCGTGCCAAAGATAATGTACTGATCTAAAAATTTAAGAGAAATTGATTATTTCACAAGCTCATTACCACTTTGGCAACAGGCACGTTTAAAATACAAACCTAAAATAACTTTACCTTTAGTATCTGGATGTATCCATGATGTTGCACAATTAATCTTCAAAGGACAACCATCAAAGACTTTGGAAAAACACGCTCCCATCTGAAAGACACCAAAACTGAAACCTGAAACAAGCTTACAGTATAAAGTGTTTATTATATTCTGGCAGTTGGCCAACCTGTACACACCACTGCTCTTTTTTCAGACTTTCAGACAAACCTTCTCTAATATGCTTTGATGCAAAAACATTTTTATGTTCCCCAAAAGCTACAATGCAGCCTTCCAAACCTTTTCATAGACTTCATATACATTAAGAAATGCAAAGAGGGATCAGAATGATATGAACAATTTCAAGCACCTAGTGGGTAAGAACAATATTGAGTGCTTATATAAATGGCATATGAAGGGAAAAGAAGCAGAAATGTTGAAGTAATAACACCCTCTCGCATCACTATCACCTCTCCCCCTTTCTCTTTACTAAGCAGAAACTGCCACTGGAGATCACAATCCAGAGAGTCAGTGAAGTCTCCAACCCTTCACATCCAGACTGAATGGTGAAAGAAAGTTTTTAAGAAAAGGAAACAAATATAATGGATTCAGTACACGAAAAGTAACTGGCTATGAGATGCAGAAAATCACCCCAAGATGAGCTGGTGGCTTATTCTAGCATAAACCTTCTGACACTAGAGAGATGCCATGACAGCAGGCTTCCAATAACCCCTACTGCAAATGAGATTTCTTACCAGCACTTTCGGTGTTGGTGGTAAACCATTGATTGCTGGCTTCTGTGGGAAGAAAGAAAGATCATGAAATACCTCCCATGTACTGGTATGAAACTAGCTAGCTAACATGACAGCGAAATCTGACTGAGAGTCACAATACTTACAGGAAAATCTCTTTTCTCTTTTTTACGTGGCAGTTGAGGGATTTGTCCAGACCCTTCTGCATTTTCTTCAATGAGTTTTAGCATGCCATCCCCATTTCCTGAAAAGAAGCCCAGACACATTTTGTAGCTCACTTGACACAGTGAAATAGAAAATATTTTGTTGCCCTATTCTCTCTTCTCCCTTGTGTCTAGCAGGAGTGGAGAAGTGAGCTCTGAAACTTCCATATACACATCTCAGGTAGCTGAACGCTTCCAAGGACAGCTGGCCACTCTTCTGCGTGCTAAGCTACACAGTAATAAAGGCTTTCCATTATCAAAACAATCCCTGGGCCAAACACAACTGAGAATAAAGCCGTGGCAAGGTCCTCACAGATGATCCTCCCTGCACATTCGTTGTTCTTCTGCTATTCCTGCAGGCAACACAGGAATGGTATTGACTGGCTGAGTGTCCTTGTTTTGGGAAGAACATCTCCACCACATCACGGCTTGAATAATAGAATCATTTATGTTGGAAAAGACCTTTAAGATCATCAAGTCCAACCGTAAACCTAACACTGCCAAGCCCACCACTAAACCATGTCCCTAAGTGCCACATCTACGTGTCTTTTAAATACCTGCAGGGATGGTGATTCCCTGGGCAGCCTGTTCCAATGCTTGATAAACCCTTTCAGTGAAGAAATTTTTCCTAACATCCAACCTAACTCTCCCCTTCTAATAAGAACCAGCACACATGTAAAAAGGAAAGCTGCACCTCATGATCAGCTTGTGTTAAAAAAAGTTATCTACTGACAACAGCTGACTCTAGAACTGATTTCCTTTTACAGGATGCAAGTCACCTTTAGGAAATGTAATGAATTTACCTAAGTCACTGTATCTAGCCGTGAGCAATCCAGGGCTACTGATGCTGCTGGTCATACCAACAGGGGAAGAATCAGCCTGAGGTCCACAAACAGGGATACTCTGTCTCCTGTGAGCTGGCGGGGCTCTGTTCTGCGAGTCGGGGAAATGTTTTATTGTCTGACATTTCTCATCGTCTGGAAGGTTTTCCTCAGCATAACTGTTTATTCTCGGCTGCAACAAACCAAAGAGGTGAAAGTTACCTGGGAAATGGCACCTGGAAGCATAAACTTCAGACAAGTTTAATTCAAGTCAGACTGCTTCTACATTAAAAAAAAAAAAAAAATCAGCCTTTGAAAAAGACATTTGGCAGCAGAATAATCTAAGAGGTATTCCTTCTCTGATGGAAAATCACAGCAGCAGGCAGAATGCTGAACAAGAGGACATCCCACACAGCATGCTCTCTTTAGAGGGAACATACCTACAGGTCACTTTGTCTAGGGTACTGTACAAGGCCAGGAGTCCCCAGAGGTCGAGACCGTACAGACTGTGAGTCAGCACAAAATATGAAGCTGCACGAAGTCTGCTAGCAAATGGTATTTAGCAGAATTTATAACCTACTGAGAGCATCAGATGGAAGCACTGCAGAGGCTGCACAAGTGGGGTTTGCCACCTAAAACTCTTAAAAACCACCATCTCTTACCTTAGGAGGTAGCGGAGGTGGCCCTGCTCGCTTTAGTGTTGATCTACAATGAAAAGGTGCAGTAGTCGTCTTAGTCAAACCAACAACATAGACAGAATTACTGGAGAACACAGACTGTAAATAAGACAAGCTAGATGCATAGAAAGGTGGATCACAGCTTTGCATGAACAGGGTTAAACTAGAAGTCCAAGAGTGGGAAAAAAGCACGTTAATCTTGTTAGAAGTGTTGTTTTTTGATAAACTCATGTTCTTTCATAAATGCCAATGTTATAGAGGATTCTGTGGTAAAGGGTATTTGAAATTAGCAAATAAATATATGTTCAGGGACTAGTTCGGTGCAGTTTGCTCTGGATCAGACAAATGTTTGGGCACCAGAGGAGCTGCACATACCCCACCAGAGCTCTGCAGGAATACCTGCACCTCCTGTCACTACTGGGCCTGGCTCATGATTGATGGATTAATCAACACAAAATCTGCTTTAAAAAAGTATTAGGCACTTCCATATGCACTCAAAGATAACCTCAGGAAGGAGAGCAAGGGAAGAAAGCGTTGCTTTGCAGACATTCTCCTGACAATCAGATAAACAGTCAAGCGTGCGTTAGACCTTTGAGTGCAACCAGCCCTCACTTATTTATGAGTGGCAAAGCTGCCTGCAGCATTTTAAGGAAAGAGGTTTTGCCAGAACGCTGCCTGCTTTAGCGAGAGCCACACGGAGTAAACACAACTGTACATGAAGGAGGTCCACTCACTCTTCAACATCTTCACTCCCATCGCCAAATTTTGTAAGCAGTCCCCTAGGTAAAATGTTTATAAAATTAAGAGCTCTGCTCTAAGGTTGACAAGTGCAACTAAAACAATCGGTGATGTCATTTAGTTTCATAACAAGCATCTCCCAGCCCTTTTCAAAACAAAGTATTTCTCTTATTTACTGCATTAAGCCCTTTTTCATTTAGTATGGTCTTTTCCTTCCCCTCACCCCCCAAATAATCATTGAAGCTCTCTTCCATACCAGATACCATCAACTCATCTTTCACTTCCCTACCTGGTATTTTAAATATTGTTGAAATGCCTAATAACAGTACAATATAAAAGAAGGAAAAAAAAAAAAAAAGATGAGAACAGAGGAAGTTACTGGGAGACAAATGGAGAAAAGCCTTTACAAAGGGAAGTTTCCTCCTTTAGTGTTACATGCTAAAGACACAGACTGTTTCCCATTCCAGTGGGAATTCTTGTTTCAAAGCTACCCCAGGGTCAAAAAAGAAATTGTGACTAGAGGATCAAAGCAGCACTGAAAATATAATCCTGAAACAAACAAAAACTGATAAAATTTTGCAAAATGGCAGTTTTCAAGCTGTGTCTTAAAAAAAAAAAAAAAAACAACAAACTAAACTGCATTTAATGTAAAAAAATCTAAACCATAAATCTAAACCTAATAAAAAGCATTCCTTAGTGTGCTGTTGTGATGTTGTGAAGTCTAGGCTTCTGCATCTAGGAATCATGAGGTGGAAGAGGCAGTTCAGAAGCTGGCTGTCTCAGTGTTCAGCCAGGGACAGGCTCCTTCATGCTGCAGCAGCCCAGTGCAGTCCAAGTCTCTGCCTGCAGAGCAGACACCCCCGTACCCCACCAACTCACACATCCTTCCACAGCACACCACATCACCCACTGAGGAATGACCACAGGGGTAATGAACAGCACAAAAAAAAGCATATTATATAAAAACTAACCCAGCCAAATTTGGATTAATGTAAAATTTCCCTGCAAGTTACTTCTGAAGGGAAAGCAGCAGACAGTTGCCAACAGGAACTATTAAAAAATTTAAAGGAGAAGAAGTCCAACCATCAACAAAAACCACCTCCATAATACAGAAAATTTTAAAAAAAAGTAATTTTAAAATGCTACAATAAGGATGAGAAAAAAACAAGAAGTAAGTTCAATCACCAGGTACACATTCTGGTATTCTCTTTCCAGTCAAGTAATTCCCAAGTCGAAGATATCAATCACCATTCACTCTGATAAAAGGCAAAGGGCATGAAAAGCAAGGACCCCCCAGCACACATCCTCTCTGTACATCCCTGGTATTACTCAGAATTGCTGGGACAGAGCAGCTATGCGTTTCCTGTTTATCGTTTTAAACTGGAAGTGGTTTCCAAGTAAGCAGCACGGAGTCACCATCCAGAAACTTTAAGCCTGTCCTCCTTTCAATACTAAATCTGTATCTATTCACTGATTTATAGCCCTAGCAATGTTTGCTACAGCTACATTCATTCTGCTTTTAATACAGCCTGGTATAGACAATCTTAACGCTACAGAAACAGAATCAAATCAATAAGTCACTTTGCCGGGAGGAGCTTCCCTCCCTCCCTGCCTCTCGACCCCGCAGATTCCAGCTGTCTGCAGAAAAGCCAGCACTCACGAGAAGGGCTTTCAATCTGCAGCTCATCAGGGTCACACAAACAAACCGAGAGAGGAAGGAAAGCAGTCGCTGTCATTACTGGACAGGGAAAGGCAAGGCCTAGAGAGCCACCCCAAACTTTTACTACAATGGGAGTGAGAACAGAAAAATAGGTTGAACTTGAAAAGACCCCAAACACTGGCAATCTCCGTGACACGGCCAGCTTTCCAGGGGGCTGTAATGTCAGCTGACAGCTTATGCAAGACTTTATCTGCAAAAAAGCCAAAGAAATTCACTGTCTGCTACTCAGTTCCAAATAAAGATGGGAAACAGGCTCTTTTAGCTGAGCAATTATTTCAACCAAAACACCACCTTTCCACATCGGTCAGTACTACTGACTTTCCATATTCTTCACTGCAAATTCAAAGATTGCCTTTAAAGGCAGAATCCAGTATTTTGCAGCAAAAGGAAGCCACCTAATAAATTCAGTGCTAACTTGGAGAGAGTTGTGCTCCCTTCCTTCATGCCTGTTTTATCCCAGGGGAAATCAGTTATAGCGTATCTTTACCTAAAACATTTCACCCCAGAACACTACATGACTGTATTATAGATTACACTGATGAGACACCCACAGTAGAAGCAGTCGTGCCGTAGTACTGAACTTGGTAAAACTAAGTCTTCAGAACTGGTTTCTCCTTCCCTTTCTTGCACGGACCCAGCTGCAGGGCTGCGAACATGCTTTGCTACAGGATGTCACAACCACGGCCGCGGCTCAGAAGAGAAGTGCAAGACCAGCGGAGGATCCTGAACTCAGCCCTTGCAAGGTTACCAGCTTTGCTTCAGAAAATTGACTTTGGCTGTGTTATTTCAGTGTGCTGGCCATACATTTACACTTCACTTTCCATCTACAACTGGGGAGCTACAACAAATTTAAAACAAGTTCCTGCTTAAAAGAGATTAAACCCATTTCCCAAGAGAATGACCAACCAACTGCAGAAGGAGGACTGCATACTGGAGAAAATCTCCTTTAACTTTATGAATAGTAAAATGGATTAGGGCTTATGGTTTGATTTTCCACCATAGCTCAATTCTTCTTTCAGAGTGTATTTTCATATTAAGTCACAGAACTAAAAGATGTTTTTAAACTGTACTTACTTGCTGCTTCCACCATCAACAAAAGGATTCCAATGTGAAGCAAAGTCAGTGCCAGCTGCCACAACCTGAAGACAAAGAAATTTTAATTTTTCCCCTCCCTGTCAAACTGAATTACCTTATCCACAGCACATGAAGAGGCCTGGGAGATTCCCAAGCCCTGCAGAATGACCCATAAAAAGTAAAATAAAATTCCAAAGTAAAATCGGAATTTTACAATCAATTATAAAGCAACTATTGAAAAGCTATCTTCTTCTTCTACTCAGACTTAAAAGCAGCACCTGGAAATGATATAATGCCAGCATCGAGTGGCAATAAGTAACACAAAAGCAAAAATTTTTGGTGAAAACTCGTATTTTCCACTCAGGGCACTTCCAAGACACTCTTCCAGCAAAAGAACATACTGTAGCCGCCTCCAAACTCATATTAGATGCCATCAGCAGAGGCTGGGAGCGTTCCTGTCACTACGGCACCGAGGGGACCTCACCGGTAACAACATGCACAGATCTAATCAGTCACATTCAAAAAAGATGAACTCATACCTACCTGGTGAATTGGAGTACAGCTGTAAAAAACAGGAATGGGATTTTTCTGGAGTGCTGAGCAGTGATGTCTCCGAATCAAAATTAACGGCAGCTGTTGCTATTCACAACACTTATTAAAAAATGGAGCCCTTGTGTACACAGGCACATACTAATCCCAAAGAACGTTAATTAGCTGATCTGCAGTAAACTGCTGAGGGCTGGAACAAACAGCAGCAGCTCACAGGGGGCAAAACCGGCTGCGTGCGAGCTGGAGGCCTTCCAAAAAACAAGCAGCAAATAAACCCTGATGATGGGAAGATCAGGGACTCAATGCAGCACGGCCTCTTCACATTATCAAATTAGTAGGCACATGTCGTTTTTTTCGTCTGAGCACGACTCTCCGTACAAAGCATGGAGGGCAATTCGTTTGCTTAAAAATGTGGCAATTGTCTGGGGACCAAGAGTGGTCTTCTCATGACTTTATACTTCAGAAACATATTACTTAGAGCTGAACCACAAAACAACGAAGACACTATGATTTTAATAAATGAAGGAAAAAACCAAACTTGTCCTTACCATTTCATCCCGAGCTTCTGTTTCTTTCCGTAGAGGGGGCTCAAACTGCAGCTTATCAACTACAAAACATACATTTTCAAATTTAATACACACAACATTATACCAGTGCCCTTTCAACACTTACTACAGTGAAACGCATGTTGTAACAGAGCTAAATATTATGTACACAACACTTAATTTGCCTATAAAATATGATCATCACTTAAATATCAGAGTTATTGTCTAAATGCTTAAATTTGCAAATAAGAAAGAAACAGACCAAAAGTAAATATCGAGTCATTACATGAAAGTACACTAAAACATAACTACGTAACCACAGGTTACTTTTAATGCATGTGAAAGAGAAGAAAGAGGCTTTTTAACAGCAGGCTTCCCAGAAGTATGAGATACGAGATGCAGAGGAGCACATAGCATTTACACTACAGAAGATATTTGTCCAAACCTGGAGAAAGATCACTGCTACCCTCAAAATTTCAACTTAGACCCAACTGAGTAGTGTGTTAGTATTGTTTTTAAAAGAAAATAAAAGATTACATTAAAAGAAAATGCATTATGTTAACACGCACCCCGGTCAGGACAGCTATTGCAATCACAAGCGCTCCATCAGGGTCAAGAAAAGGTTTAACTTATGAACTTGAAACAATGTGCAGACAAACACAAAATGCTATGGTTTTTCTGTATTTTCTCATCACACCATGACACCCAATGTACTCATGTGAAAAGATGCCCTCCTAATTATCAACTCACTCTCATTTTTTGATGTTTGCATGTTATTAGTGTTTTTGCTATTTTAAGTAAGGCTGCATGGTCTGACAGAAATCACAGAGCTGAAAGGCTATGCTGGTCATGCAAGGTTTCCACATAAACATTACGATGCAGCAATGAGATGGAATGAAACAGCAGAAAAATATGCAACTTTTGATTTTGGTTTTGGAAAAATATTATTGAAGATTCATGTGTATGTGGCTCTTTCTTCTGGTTTTGTTTCTCAAATGTGCCAACAGCAGAAGAGACTTTCCAGAGTACACAACAGAAGAGTGACACTGACATCCTCCATCGGTAGAAGCAAACCAACACCACAAAATGGGCAAAGCACATCAGGAACTTACAGTTTATCTCCGATGCCGTTCTTTCTGCCCTAATGTTCCTGTTCGTAGAACGAATTGTATGGCGAATAACGGAGTGAGGCTGGAAGGGTTATAAATGGAAAAGCTGAGAAAAGTCACGTGGCTTTCTGTTGGATCTCAATCAACAATCAAACCAACAAGGAGAAAGAATAGCTGTTGCAGTCACACACTGCAACATGCACCGCGTTTGTCCTAGCCTTGCACAGCCCGTGCACCTATAGGATCCTTCTATACACCCACAGCATAAGCGTGACAAGCGTGTGGCAGTATTTCCTGGCTTCTCCTGCACGGTAACTCTAAAAATGGAGCTCTAAAAATGTTGGGGCAGTGCCTCTGTTAAGCTGCAATCTTACATTCCCAAAGCAAAGCAGGGTATTTAAACCATAGTTTTACCTGAAGACAGAAAATAAAATATGTTCTCACCTCAAAATCATCATCATCAACTTCACCGTAGTGTGTATGGTTGTCAGGATTATTAACTTTGTCCAACAGCTCAACTGCTAAAGATCTTGAAAGACCAGGCTGCCCTACAAAGCTATGCTAGAACCACAGAAAAGAACAAGTTATAATATGCAACTGGTATGTAACTTTCATTAATAAACATTAATAAAAATATAGAATGTCATTGAATTTTGCCTGCCTCCTTGGGGCTTGAGTATTTCTTTATGGCTAGACTTTCTAACACCTCCATAAGTATGGAAACACAACACTTCTGGTCACTTGTAAATTGGAAATTAAACTCTCAGTCAAACAAACATTATACCTCAAACTTCATTTTTTACATGAGTAGTTCAGTCAAGTTTAGGAAGGCAGAAATAGATACATGAACAACTGCTACATATATCCGTTTTCTCTTTGGGTGACTAGGAAGGGTCAATGTCTACACAGTTATATCTAAGAGGCTGAGACACCCACTTGCAGAAAGGACAAGGCTGAAGACAGAACATGAAGCAAATTTCTGTAATTGTTCCTACGAAAAACTGTATAAAAATCTTGATACTGAACAAAATCTTGCTACTTCCTACAGTTGACCAATGTCTCTTGCCTTCAGATTTCACCACCCGTGTTGTAAGATCAGAGAAAGAAAATTGTTCCAGTTTGGTTTCCTATTGATGTGTTGCTCACTTTGAAGCAAGAGATCTCTTACTGATGTCACTAAATGTTCCAAGCCACTTACAGAAAGGAGCCTGTCTGCTGTCGGTCTCTTCTTTGGATTTTTTGTAAGTGCTATTTTGACAAAATTATGGAATGTTGATGACCTTAAAGAAAAATGAGGTTTTATATTTAATTTTTCAAGAATATATTTTTGATTTTAACACAGTTACTAAACAGATCACAAAAGGGTGTGCTAAATTAGAATGTCGTCCAGGTACCTCATCTCAGGTTTGAATAACTACATTTCCAAGTTAACAAAATAGGAAAAAAACCATTCAATTCACGGAACTTGCATGGAAAACATTTTGGTACAGAAAATAAACCAATCACGTATGGTGCTATTTCAACTTTTTCCAGTTTCAGTTGTTACAGAATTAGGTATCAGAAATAAAAATTGTGAATTATGTACCCAGTAAACCCTCAAAATCTAGGCAAACCTACAAATTTCACTGTTCTTGGCTACAGGTAGGAAAATAAAATACAAAGTTATAGACAGAGACTCAACTTACTCCTAAAATGCTTTGTTGCTATTTCCAGAAGAACTAAGGTGACTGTGTCATACAACCTCTTTTTAGATCTGAATTATGACTTGATGTTATGACTGGACCTACAACTCTTCAAGCATTTGTGTTAGTATGCCTCTCTTGGGACAATATTAGCCCAAGTCTGTTTGCTTTCAAATCATGTTACAAAACACATTTCCTCTTCCAGTGTTAGCATCTGAGAAGGCGGCACTGGAGAAGTAAAGTGCGTTGGCTGGGGTTACACTGAGCAGTTTCAATACAGGAAACATGCACTTAGAAGTGTTTTCTTCCCTTCCTCTAGCACACATCTGCCCACCCAAACACCTCAAGGTAAAAAGATTGTACAGCAGCATCATGAGCAAAAAATCCTGCATACCGGGATTGCTTTGAGTCTCATAAATAAAATGTTAGTAAGTGTGGTACAAAATCCTGCAGGCAGTAGGAAGGTATCACAGGTTAAAGAAATCATGAAAGGATTAAACGATTACCTGTCCCATTGATAGAGGCAAATACCCTATAATAGGAATTAAGGGGAAAGGATAAAAATAATTTTTCTTCCTAGAACACACAAAGAGGATCCAAGGAGGGAGATTTCATTTCCCTCTGGATCACTGGCAGAGATAAATTTACATAAGTAGGACTGTCCTGTCCCTTAACGCTGGTTTTCTGCCATGTCAGAAAATGTTTGCTACTGGACCTTAACCCTCTCTCGTTTGCTTTCAGACACCTATAAAAAACAACTAGCTGTTTCTCAATGAAACTTCCTGTAAGCAAAATCACGTCTCAAGTTCCCGGGTTTAAAACTAGCAGACACTATTTTTCACTGCCTCTCTTCTTCAATAATGACAAGTACTATTTTCACATTATCTACAAAATATTGAACAAAGGAGAGGGTTTAACCTACCATTTTGCTTTTTCCTTTAGCTTTGGCGGCTGAAAATTACTTTTTGACATTAAAAACAAAGCCCTAAAGGTAAAGGAAGAATAATGTTATTATATGGTAAAAAATAATTAATTTCATTGCAATACCTAAACTTTAAATTAGTAGTTTATGGTAAGAATCATACCGGTGAAACTGGATTATAGTCTATACTATGTTAGAGAACAGACACAGTAAAGCTGCTGATTTTCTTATCTTTAAATAAAATCTTTTTCTTGCCATGCATAATCCTGTTAAACATAAGGCTACAGCTTCTCTAGTGATTTACTATCACTAGGTAGTAAATCTGTATCTGTTCTTAATCAGATTGTCGACGACAGTACAAAGTTTTTTAAAAAAAAATTTAAAAATTTTGGTTATAATTTCAATTGTAAATTTAAGACTTTAGCTTCAGACTGATGCCTTAAAAACAGACACGGCTCACGAAGAAAGTATGTATTTGATGAAGGAATCCTAGCGTGAGTTTCTAGGTCTGAGCTACAGAGAAGGTTGAACTATATTCTAACAGTCCCTGCTGGGACTGAAGAGGGTCCTGAAGATAAGCAAGCTCCCCAGCCAGCAGACCTCATCGGGTGAAGATCAAACATGGGTGGCTGAAGCTCTGCAAGTTCAATCGCTGTTATGCCAACTGCCCAGATATCGCAGAGCTGGTTATATCCACCGTTCTTTTCCACCGCTGCAACTTCTGGGGCCATCCTTTAAAAACAAAGACATCGTTCAATGAGAGCACCAGCCGCTTCTGAACAATCCCGCACGTGGGAGGCACAAAGCATGTCACATAACCCTGGAGCAGAAGTCCCCCAAAGAGCGTAAGTCAGGGAAAAGTCTGATGTCCCCCTCCCCTCACCCGGCATTAGGGGAGCGGAGAAGCACACAGAGGTGACGTGTTTTGCCTGAGGTCATGGGCTGGACAGCAGCGCTAGGAATAGAACCAGTCTCATGATTCCTGGTGAAATGCTTTAATGACCAGATAATCTTCCTGCCCTCAGTCCTCCTTCTCCAACAGGATAAAGAGGGCAGCGAACAATTAAAAGCCATTGTCTAGATTAAGCTGTACGTATGCATTCAGTCTATACCAAGAATACCGCCCTAGGCGTCTCAACTGCATCACAGTAATGCCAGAAACCAACAGCAGTTAAATTTACATATATAATCCAGTTCAAGATTTACAATGATATATTTGCATATTAAATGCTGTCTTGTACACACATTAATCAGTAGAGATGATTAAAAGACAGTTTAAAATCTGTTTTTCTTCACAATTCCTTCTGCACAGAAATTGAAAAGACATTGTTCAGTTTATTCACTAGAAGTGCAAGAAGTTACTAAGAAACTGAATGACCATTAGGTATCCAGAAAAAGGGGAGAATGTTCTGCATTAATACACTTGTGAGAAACAGCAATCCTGCCTCAAATATCAGGTAGCTTGTGTTACAGCAACAGATCAGCTACAATCAGTGCTTCCCAGACTTTTACCCTTTGGGCATTTTACTTGGAAGAAAGGGAATTTATGCAATTGCTATATATATTTAAAAATGTGTATGTATACTTCAGTGTGTGTATTTTAGAATTCTTGGCATAAATACAGACTTAGCTTTGCATACAATCAAAGCAATCAAAGTAGTTTATTACCAGTAAGGGGTACCAATAAATGATTTCCTCTTTGCAATGGTGGCTGTTATTTTTGCTGCTACACCGAAGTCAGCTGGAAAATAAAATTAACATAGACTTAGAAATCTCATTTTAAGACCCCAATTCTATTCTAGGAAGTATCATATTATGAAAGAACAATCACATTTCTCATCCAAATTAAAAATTCATTAAGCTTCCACTGTTAAGAGATTAATAATGAGATCAGCTCATGTCTTCACTGACATGACTTCAAACTGAAAAGTTTAGCTTCTACATACTTATTCATGATCCTGTTCCTCTCCTACCTATTTTTCCATCTCACATTTCAGCAACCAAGCAACCTCACAAAATTTAGTGGATATTCAATTTAATATTCAAGAGGAAAAACAGCATCATGCTTTGGAAACGGTACTATTTCTGTGTTACTTACGGAGAAACTGCGGGGGGCCATCTGTTCTCATTTCTGGAGACTCTGTCTAGGGGACAATAATCCCTTGCTCTCAGAGCTGCAGATAATCAGGTGGTCTTGCAGAGCCAAAAATCATTTAAGTCCTTTTTATTTTTATTGCATTTGTAGTATGATAGCTGGAGGATAACCGTGGGCAAATCTAACTAGCTTACCAGGCAAAAGGAAGGTGTCAGTGCATAATCGAACTTTAATGCAGTTAGTGGAATCTCCTATCAGTTTCAAAGTTTTACTCCTTTTTTTTTTTTCGTCTTCTTTAAAAAGCTGTACTTTCTTAGCCCAGCACTCCTGGTTCACCACAGCGGAGTAAACGTGTTGAACCACAGAGCTTTTCTGAAAAGCAGCGATGCAGCTAATGCACAACCGCCCTGATTCCAACACTGGACACAGCATCCCATTCCTTCTACCAGGATGGCTGCTCCCTACTTCCTGCAAAGCCCTAACTACATGTAGACTTCTGTGAAGTGAGGCATCAGACAAGCAGATAGGGGTTTTAAAGGCAGCGCAGTCAGGCAAGAGCCTGTTTGTGCTGCGCTAAATGCAAAGCGTCACTGTAGGAAGCCAGTAATACAGATCTCTTCTGAGTTTTCATCTGTAGACCTCAGAGCACTTGCAAAGGAGGAGAGATTCCTCTTCTCCACCTGCGTGGAAATGCCCAACGTCATACACTGGGCTAGAGGCACAGCCAGGATCAGACCCCACTTTTCCACAGGCTGCCAGGCTCAGGAGACGCTGTCTCACACAGTGGATCCTTGGAGGCTCTGAGGGAGAGCTGCCATTCAGGCTAGGAACAAACATGTTGATATCCAGCTAACCCCAACCTGGCAAATTCCAGGGAAACCTGGGCGGCTTCAAGGCTTGGTGGTTGAAAAAAGAAATTATCTGTAACTTCTTAATAGAATGCAAAACTTCTCATCTCATACGTACACAAGCCCATGGATATACACTTTCTATTGTCAACTATTGCCCCAAATAAGAATAAGAACATCCTGCAGTGCAACACCAAAAGGTTCATGCCACTGAGAACAGTATCTAATAAAATTGATTGCAACAATACAGGAGATGTGCTGTATTATGCTTTATCATTTGTGCCAAGCTCAATCTTTGCTGTGCATATCTGTTCAGCACAAAACAAAGCCTTACAAAAGCTGAATATTCTTCTTGGGAGGCATGGTCTCTACATTCTGGTTATTTTTTGTCTTAATGGAATGATAAAAGTAAAAGGCAACTTGCTAAATCAAAGTATCCCAGCTGGTACTGTAGCTTTTGATTGATCAAATTAAAACATTCCCATTTGCTTTCTGTCTTGTTATTAAACTCAGGCCGCTTACCTAGTTTGACATCTCCATGGTCTGTTAGTAGAATATTTGCACCCTAAAATATAATAAATAGAAAGTTAAAAATCTTTTATCAGGAATATTCTTCTGCACTAGAAAGTTTAAGGTAAGTTTCTTAAAGTTCCAAGTTACCTTTATATCTCTATGCATTTTGCCCTTCATATGCAAATAAGCAAGACCCTGGAAATAAAGAGAGACACAATGCGTCATTTTGCCATTTGTTAACATACTACAAAGCCAGTCCATTTAATACATTTAAATTACTCAATGTATTTTATTTGAAAGTGGAAAAATTTGAGATTTGCAGATAAGAGGTATGCTGGATTCTGTTCCTCATCTCTCCCAGCTCCAGCCAATACATGTGAAGACTCTTTAAACCAGTCATGGTGTAACATTTTACATAGATATATGTGTATTTTCAAAACAAACCTCAAGATACATCACCTTTTCCCTTCATTAAAATTAACTGTATTTTTGAAGTCCTGAAGGTTTCAACAAGCAGGTGTTTAGCCTTTAAGCTGCCTTTTCAGCAATATGAGTCCCTGCAGTAAGAAGTGATCAGGAACAGAACCGCCAAGCTGATTAGTTCACGGGTCTACACCCCTGCCTCTGGCAGTGACCAGTTCAGCCACCGCTTCAGGGAAAGGTGTGCACCCCCATGATTCTCTCACGAAATTATTCATGGAGCAGGGAAAGAAAAGTTCCTTTAAGGAACAAGCTGCCTACATCATCTTACCTTGTATTTCTACAGTTATTAGCAATCACAAAATGAAAGAGAATTTTAGTCATCTGGTTGCAGTATTTTTCCTCTACAAATTAACAGAATTTACTGCCACAGATCAAGCAGGCAGTTTAAAATATGCCTTTTTTTTTTTTCCTCCATTACTCAGCTACTTACCCTTGCTTACTAGGTATTAGCTGTTTTCTGCAACGAGATTCAAAAATTTGTCCTAAACAACTGCTGCACTGAATCACTGTGTTAGAACAATGGATGAAAATTGCCCAGGCAACACCATGGTCACAACCTGCACAGATCTGTCTTCCACAGTTTCCCTGAAACCAACAGGCTCACCGAAGAAACAAGAGCAGGACTGAGGTTCAGCATTTTAGTCCTGCAACGGGATCCACAGAGACGCCTACTCTTGTGTAAACTCCTTTGCAAATTACAGCAGAGAAGCGGCACTGCTCTGACAATGATTTTAAGCAAATATTTGCACTACGTTACTGGAGTTTCTTGCTAATTTTTATTTACAATATGGAAACTAACAGATTAACCCTGGTAAATTGGTTTCAGCCACGTTCCCAATGCTTACAAATATAAGTGATGGTAATGCAGCGCTTTCTGAAATCATCTTCTGTATCTACTTTCTATACAGGGAGCAAACACTTTATCGTATACCTGCAGAATTACAGTACCTGTAAAGTTTCTCTGCATACATATGCAATTTGTAACTCTGACAGAGGTCCTGTTACTGAAAACAAACATTAAAAAGTGCGTAAGTCTACAATACACAATACACAAATAACATTGTGAAGCAGCCAAAAAGTGGTATCTCCATGCAAAAGTTAAAGACCAATTTTACATGAACTGTATTTTACATTCAGCTGAAAAGAGGGTTTTGTTTGCTTCTTTTACAGAAAGGCCTTCTGTAAAAAAACCAGCACAATAACAGAAGACAATACCCACAGCGAGAAGAAAACCTGTTTTGACAGAAATCTAATTATCGTTTTACAAGTGACTTCATAGTAATGTAACATCCTGTATTCCGAGGAAGGTAAAAAACAATAAAAGTGACTTTTGCTAATTTTTTAATATTAGAAATGGCAATGTTCTATACTAGGTGCCTATGAGACTTTTAATTGTTTTAAAGCTATGTGTACTAACTGGCTGAAAAATAAAGCAAAAAGAGCTCTGGTATTCGAAAACTCCATGTTATCATTTAAAGGCAGAGCAAGTCCCCAGACTGCTTTTCCAACAACTCCAATAAATCACAGAATCATAGAATCATTAAGGTTGGAAGACACCTCTAAGATCATCAAGTCCAACCGTAATCCTTCTACAGAATCAACAACTCTAGATGAAACCTCAGAGAGGAAAATATTAATAAAAGAGTGGTACAGTACTGCACAGGAGCAAAAATAACAAGTCATTTCTACCCTTTAAAGATCAAATGTACAGATCTCCCAGTAAAAACTGCTTCCTCACACCATGTACAGTCTTCATATCCAATTAGCATGATTTCTGGTCATGAACTTTTTTCGAGGTCTTTTTTCCACCCCTTCAGAAAGCAGATTAACATGCTTCTGCATATGGCATTCAGAGACACGGGCTGAGAGAAGCCAAGACACAGGTGAGCTCCCAGTGTACAGCAACCGCAGCTACTGAAGAGCTCTCCACTGGAATAACTCAAGCTCTTTGGGTCAACCCCCTAAGCATCATGGAGAAAAATAAACAGTGTGATGATTAAAAAATAAAGCATGTTCCGCCCTAGAACGACAGGGTATTAGCCCAAAATGACGGTCACCATATTTGAGAAATGCTCTCAACAAAATCTGTTGACCGTAGCCAAAAAACACTGTTCATGCCCTAAGAAAAAACATGTGCAGTGCCTGGCCAGTACCAACCATTCCGCATTAGTTTGCTTGTCATTTATTTTTCTTCTTTGCAGAAAGCTTCCAAAAGGTACAAATAAGTTTCAAAGTACCATGGTAAATATCTTGGAGGGATCCTCCACCGCAGTATTCCATGCATATCCACAGCTTCTCTCGGCTATCAAAAGAAAGTTAAAACACAGGCATCAGAAGCTGATTGATCTGTATACAGAACAGAGTTAATAATGATTATTTAAAGTATTTTCTATTGGTCTTGATGACTCTTTGTTAAAAATACACATTCTGATACATGACTAGCAGTTACACGTTTTACATGTTATTAATAATCTGAATATAAACTCTCACCTATCAACAAGAAAATTTTACGCCAAAGTCACTGAGAAGTCTCTAAACGTTATCAGACTTAAAAGGTGTTGCTTTAACTCTGACCTAATTGCAATAAAGAACATGCAGAAGAAACACCTCAGGTTTATCTGCTATCAGCAAGATTACATCAGATAAGACTGAAACTGTGAGTTTAGTGTGTTAAATTGAAATTACCTAATTATATCTAAACAACTCTTCATGGCCTCCAAAAAGGGTGCTGGGGATTTAGAAATTTAGCCATTTTGTCCCAGCTGAAGTCCATGTGGGCTGTACTTAAGATGACTTAAAAAATGCAGCCCTCCAAGAAATCTAAAGATGAAGCCTTGTAGAAAAAGACCAAACAGGTGAAGTGGTGATATATATTCCCACAGAGCCAACTAATAAATGGCAGAGTTCCACAGAAATGGAAAATATTCCCCAGCTTTCTGTATAACATTTAACGTGTGCACTTGAAGATGCAGCCAGCTGGCATCACCTTGTTTCTGCCTCTCAGTATGTCGCATCTGTTACACCAGAATTATGAAAAATGTTATTACCAGCAGCTCAGATTTAGTGTCTTGCTCTTACAACTCACTGGCTATACTTCCACAGCACACAAGACTACCATTAAAGAAAATATCTAAAAGCAATTCTGCTCTAGATAAATAATGAGCTAGTTTTATATTAGTGATAAATGTTTAAAATCTGCCCCGCAAGTGAGTAAGATTGGATATGTTGCAAGAGTCTCTAGGGGAAAAATTTCTTTCTATTCCTAGTGATAAAAATGTTCCGGCCTTTTGGCCAGCAGAGAAAACAAAGTATTAGTCACTTTTCTCTCTTTTTTTTTTTTAAAAGCCAACTGGGAACCAAAGGGAATTCAACCTAGAGAAGAACATTGAGAGAGGATATAAGTATTAAACCAGACCGAGCATTGTCTTAGGAAAGAACCAGCAGAAATGCAGGTCTAAAAAGTAGGGTTTACCTGAGATAGCTCCCAAAATAGGCGACTATGTTGCAATGTTTGCATTCTTTAACCATATATATTTCTTGCTGTATCAACGAAAAGTCATCTCCTGAAAAACAGGAAGCAGCCACAGTTACATCACACACAACTGAACATTCAAAGAGATCTGAAGGTATGCACATAACTCATAAAAACAAGCCATAGACCTGGATAATTGCTAAGCCCTTCACGAGGGCTTTCCAGCACACCAGCCTGTTCAGCAAGAGTTACCTACATACACCATCCTTTCAGTTTCCATTATTTACTACATGCTTTGCATGAGACACCAATATTTCTTGAAGACCAACAGAGAAGTGCTGGCCTGGTGGCCTGAACATGATCCATCAGTTAAGACAGCTCAGCACGCACCGAGAGTGCTTTGAAAAAGAAACAAAGGGATCCCATGGTAGGATGGGGAGCACATGAGAAAACTCCGGAGCAGCCCCTCTATAGCCGACAGATAGCCCCAGCTGGAGCCGATTCGGCTTTATGGGGACACGGTGCTCACAGCACAAGGGTCCCAGCGACAGAAGGAAAAATCTCTGCAAACTAATTCCAGAGTCTCCTGCCTGAAACCAGAAGAGATCACATACCATAGGCTTTTTATTAAAAGTATTTCATTTCAAAACGACTCTGATAGAGCATATGGCCTGCACGCCCACTCAGCCACCGCTGACTCAGAAGAGAAGCACAGAGTCCTCAACACGGACTGCCTTGTTGTGAGTGCATTTTTGGATAAGGACAGCTACATAAGCACATTTGCACATCCTAAATATCCTTTGCAAAAAAAAAAAAAAAAAATCTACTGAAAAATATATTATGGCCAGAGCAATAGCCTAGTATGTTTCTGACTCTTTAAAAGGTTAAAAGCTGTCATAAATTAAAAAAAAAAAAAAAAAATTATAGATGCAATGAAGCAAACTAAACTATCTGAGAGCTAGGAAAAACACTGGTATACTTTTATTAAATCCCATTGAGAGAATTTCCAAACAGAGGATGTTCTCCCCAAAATCTAGAGCTCAAACACCGCAGCTCTGCCTCCCTGAAGCTTGGGGCAGGCTCACACCCAGCCCAGCGCCGGGGCTCCTACAGAGGCACGTATCAGCTGGCTTCGGAGGATCAGCCTGAACAGCAGTGACACATCAAATAACATCAGCACGGCCTGACAGCCTCCCTCTGAAGAGCAACATTGCAAAAATCAGCCTATTAGGCCATCCTAGACGTGTGCCTGCTTTGTGATCGTGCATACATATACATTACTACCTTTATTCTTCCTTTGGCATGAACAAAACTTCTGTAACAGCTCGCAAGACACGAAAGACTAGAATTTAGATAAAGGTTTTAGGTTTTAGATACAATCCTGCTCCAGACAGTATGGTAGATATCATGTTCTCTCAAGGAAAAAATTGCTTTGTATGTTTATTTTTGTTTTAAGTTTCACTAGTAAAAGTTGTCTCCTACTCTCAAAGTCAGGGATGTGCAACCCAGAAAACACGTACTGCTTTGTACTGCCCCCCTTAATTTGTATGATTTTGACACGTCCAAGAGGTCTCAAGCACTGCTGTAAATTCTCTTTGGATTCTTCACGTGTTCATTTAACGAGTAACAGCATAGCTAATATTCTTAATAGCCCTTTAAAAATAGATGGTTTTATTTGCTATGCTTTGAAGCAACTTCCCTGAGCAACAGTGTCACTGGCACCCGCAGGACCCACAGCGGCCAGTACTGATGTACAGCCCCACGGCATTTACAATCCCTTTGGAAACCCCCGCTCTCCATACATACACCGGTACGTAGATGATGTTTACAGATATAGCAAAAGAAGTGCCAATTTGGTATAACGATTTCCAAATGATCACAGCCTTTATGTCTCAATGATTAGCAGACTTTTACTTAAGAAAATAACTACGAAATACAAGGGTAGAAGGGAACACACTTGTATGAATAGAGACCTGACTGATTTCAGTAAATCCTCAAGGGCTTCTTGAAATTGAATTGTGTGGAGAAACACTTCACCGGGGCAGGAAAACATTAGTAGAAGAGTTTCAAATGTCAAGAGTCTTTTTTTAAACATAAGTAATTTTTTTTTTTTTTAATAATGAAAAAAAGAAAAGGTAACATGATTTCCATAAATTTAGCACAGATTTCACACTGTGCTTGCTTTACGGGCTACCTTTCAGCTACAACTTTGCTTGAACTCATGCACCCTGCCCGTAAGTGATAACTATGAACAAAGGATTTTTGAGTTCAAATCAGATGGATTAATTCCTCCCATTTCTCTGACAAACTTCCTAAGGGAAATTGTTGAATGCTCACTGATAACTAACTGGAGCACTTTAAAACTACGGAAGTTTTTCAAGAAAATCAAATCTAAGCAAGTTTTAAGGCAAAAGCCTCCCACCCCACACCAAAGAAGGTACTGTCTGTCTCTAACGCTACTAGCTGTCCATGAGTTCAGAGTATCGAATGCCAAATATCCATGCTCTCGTCTTGAACTGCCATCTTCAAATCAAGCAATCTTTGATTTGTCAGAAGCAGCATTTCAGAACAGCCAGATACTGTCACATGTGAAAATCATGATCAAGAAGCTTTCCTGTAACAGGAAAAACTTGCAGGCAGCAGCCGGAATTGCCTGTCGATAGCACATCGACTGGGCTGCCTAGCGTGGAGCAACAGGAATGTCAGTTCTAGGAACCGTGGCTAATGGGGAAAAATTGAAGGAAATACGGTGATTTGGGCTAGAAAAAGACTGACAGTAGAAAAGATAACAACCTTCCTGCACATAAAAGATATCAGGGAAGGGGGGAGAAGGGATAATCCATTCTCCAGTTTTATGATAGGACAATTAGCAATGGGCTTAAATTGCCTTAACCTACATTCCCTGTACAGATGAAAAGCTTTTCCTACCGGAGTAACATCGCAGCACTGAACCCAAAAGCATGGGAAGCTGTGAAATTTCCCACCAGTGAAAAAAATGGAGAAAACACTCAAAAAGTACCCATCAGGAGTGACTTAGGCTGATCCTGCCTGTAGTAGAGGAAGACAGAAAAGATGATCTCTTGATTTGCAATTAATAAATGGAGAATCTATGCAAAAAATGGGGTTACCTACAGAAAAAGGACAAAAAAAAGATTTGGAAGAGGAAAGGGGGGTGCAAGCTGAATATAGACAGGGAGCTGACAGAAAAGTAGCAAACAGATGGGATGAAGAGGAGTAGTATCCATGAGAAAAGTTTGGCTAAAATATGTAGAAAATGATTCTTGAAGATCAGACACAGAGATAGGAGAGAAGCTGTATAGTCGTTCAAAGACGACAAGAATGAATTCAAAACAAAGGAATTCAGAGTTTCCAGGCAGCTGGAGTATTAATCTTGGCAAGAGACACTGGAATAGGGCAAAAATTAAATATCCTTGGATAGCATGAAAAAAAAGAAGACAGTAAGACAAAGAATTTGCAGAAAATACTTCATTGAGAGGGAGGCAGCAAGATAAAAAGAATTAGATCAAAGGTGACGATATATCCATACAAAGAGATTTTCATCTGTTTTAGTCATCAGAGATTGCTTGATGCTAAATAACACGGAATTGGAAAAATGTACTTTTTGTCTACTCACATGTTTGCAATTATGGGTTATGTGGCATGCTGAGCAAAAACGTCGTTTAGGGAGCTGCTGTAAATCACACAAGCAGCGTGGTGAGTCACTGCAGCTTGCTACTATTATGTAATTTTACCTCTGCAGCGAGACACACAGGACACAATAGAGCATTACAATGGAATATTCTCCTCCGATCACAGCCCGTGGTCGAGGCTGCTCTGCTTGGCACAACCAGCTGCTTGTTCTCCAGCACAGCTGGCAGGGAGGAGACTGCTGAAAATTGCAGCCGTATCATCGTGTGATGCGATCAGATCAGATTTCAGAAGCTAAGCAAGGTAAGGCCTGGTAAATGCAAAATAAATCCGTATTTAAATGGGAGATCATCAAGAAAACTGACAGCCCATTAACACTAGTGAATTATTCTACTTGCAGACACTACTTCTCACCTACGTGGAACTGGCACGTATAGATGTCCTGCCAAGTTGTCCTAGATGGAGAGCATGTGTATGCTGGATCCACACACCCCGCTCTGCAGCATGGGAAGGCTCTGATGGCTCTAGTGCCTATCACACAGCGCTATTAGGTCTTCTGAGCATGCCTGAGCTTGATGGTTTTTAAGCAAGTTTACTCCTGGTCGTATTTTCATGTGCTCCACCGACTGCTTTGAGTGGTCCCATCCTGCAAAAAGAGCCAGGGCCACTTTTCACAACTCCTCCTGGGTCAGCTGTGAATCACTTTATTGTCCAAAAGGCTCCTCAGGGGAGAAATTCATAGTTACTGTTTTAAATCGGTTCATTCTGCATTACTTCAGTGCTGCATCACAGGGCTGATGCTGTGCGGGAACAGAGGGAGGGACGGGCATGCAGCGTCCAGGGCTCGCACGCAACTGGGAGGAGGGAACTGACGGCATTCGGAGACATTCATGGTGTCACCAAAGGGTGGGATAGAAGCACTTATTAAGAGGCCATATCTTCAAGGTGCCAGCCAGCCTGCCAGCACTCCTGCCCCGAGCTAGTGCCCTCAGCATGCAGTCCTCACGGGCCCCAACACACCAGACGGACACGTCAGGCTGCCTGGCAGGAGATGTGACGTGCACTCCAAAGCCTACCCGCCCAGCCTCTCTGGGGAGCTTGACTGTAGATACTTTGCAGACCTGGGATTTTTAACACTATAATTAACATTTGTTATTTAGAAGCGAGATGCCGTTTAGCAACAGGACTGGGTGGACACTGCTGTGCGGGACGCTGAAGGATGAAGAGCAGGGTCACACCATCGCTGATGAGCCCAAACGCTCTCACTGTATTCGCAAAACTCACCAAGAGATGCCCGCCTCTTGAGTTAGCAAAAGCAACTATTGCCTCTGCTGGGACCATTCCTAAAATGTTTTTTATTTCAACAACCTGAGTTCCTGAACAAGGAGAGAAAGCCCCACAGGAGTGACAACTTTGCAGAAAACTTTCACCCCATTACACAAA